TTATATCCTCGTAAAAAGTAGTATTAATTATGTAATATATGATTGCAAGACTCTATACAGAAGTGTCTACTCTTCAAAATAAAGTTAACTACACAGAATATATAATATATATATATATATATATATATATATATATGTATGTATGTATACCTTTTAATATTGATTTTTTCCAAATAAGATAACTATAAACAAACTCTGATCAATACAAATGCAAGATACAAAACATACAGTTTGGAATGCAGATTCCAGCAGGAATACCACTTCCCGCAAAAGTAAGTACATCTAGTGATGTAAAATCTGGGCGTAGAAACTTGTCTTTTTCGTACGTGTCTGGCCAAGGCAAACGAGGTAGGAATTTTTCTGCACTGTTAACTAGTTCTGCAAATTTGGCACTCATACTTTTATTTACCATAGCAACAAAACCTGGAGAAACATAAATGTACACATTAATATGTCAGGATAATAAACTTAATGACAGTTTTTTTTAATATTACAATATAAAACATTCTAAGTTTTGAAAACAATCAAATTTTGTTTTCCTTTAAAGAATTACTCTGTGATTAACGAAAAAATTGTGCAAACAAATAAAATTTTTTATTAAGTTGGATTAAATAAGTTTAAAATATTTTTATTCTTATGAAACTTGAGTTAAACTTTCATAACTTATCTTACCTTCAAACTCTCCTCTCATGCCTGCAGGGTCTCGGTAAGACTCAATAAAACCAATGTACCTGTGAAGCCAAGATGAAAGTTTCAACTTTTTAATGGCTACAGAAGTTTAAAGTTAAATATTTATCTTATTTAAATGCACCTAAAAAACAAAACAGCCATTTTATATAATAAAGAATATACAAGTACCATGTTTCCACTATATGACTGGCTTGGAAACAACACTATTTGTGGGTTATATATTAGCACGAATCCAACAAACTTTTTTTTTGTAGATAACATTTTTGACTTTTGGATAGAAATGCATGTCACAAATGGATAATTTAGTATGCTTTTAATTTCATTAGTTAATTGTTTTTTTTTAAATAAACTAAAATTGATACAACTGTACCTTTAAAATTGGGTTTGAGAACACATTGATTTTTATTCCTTAAATTATTTCAAGTTCTATTCAATTCTCACCCAAATCTTTTTAGCGAGGGTTTATGAGTGAAAAGAACTTATGACAACACTTCTTTGAAAGATGTACATTTAATTATTTAAAAAGTAACTTGTGTAACAAATAATAATATTGTTAGGAAAAAATTATATTACTTTATGTTTTGAGTAAAACAGACTTATCGCTATGTTATTCATTTCTGATCAAAGCAAGCTCACTACACAGAAAAATACATACATATTTAAAAAAGAAAACAGCTAATTAAATATAATAAGCAAACTATATTGCTTATAAAGATCAGAATACACTGTTAATGACATTTTCAGCCATAAACCTAATAATATCTCATGAAGTTTGGCCAGCCCAGGAAGTTTAGGTTAGTCCTAAATACATGTAACTAAGCTAATAATGCAGAATGGTCATTATAACAACATAATATACATAAAATTAAATTAGAAATAGTAAAATGTTTTGTGTTAGCATTTTCTTAAATCAAAAATGTATTTTCAATAATACTTTCCTCCTCTCACACTTATAGCTATTACTCAACTGCCAGTGTTTCTTCCTTTGCCCATATAAGCATTGATCTGATTTTTTATTGCTTGCTACAGTATTTTATACCCCAGTCAATTGCTCTTGGCAATATTTATCTCGTGACACTCTCCCCACCTATGTCAATGCACCCTCTATCCCGGTACTGTATATAAGCACTTCCTTCAGATAATGTTATCACTTTTTTGAGACTGACTCAATCTCAGTCTCTAACACCAATTTTTATTGGGGAAGTGTGTGCAAGAAGGTAAGTATTATGAATCCTCTTCCATGAAAAATTAACTGAACCAATATTGATCAAAAAGAAAGGCCATGCTCAACCAAACCAGATAGCTAAGCATCAAATCTAAACCAGTGTTATGAGTAGGCTCCTGCGTAGGCTAGTGCCACCCCTATTGACATCTGGAAAAAAACATCCAGGGTCCTGGGTAGGAGGGCCCCAAACTTTGCCCTCTTCTCAAAGAGTGGAGAAATTCACTCTAACACTCTGAAGGAAAAGCCTCTGTCCACCACCAGAGTTACTGGAAGCTGGGTGTGATAAGGACTCCCTAACTCTACTAGTAGAATGTGGGGGGTAATGCGCATTGGGGAGTCCTGAGGAACAATGATCTGGAAATAGTGCAATAGGTGAACCAAGTTCCCTAAATTTTTAAAAGGAAACTGAACCCAATTTATTCAATTCAGTGATCGGCAGGGATGGGCAGGATCACCTAATGCTTTATTAATGATAGTCCATGACTGACAGTGCAGCATATTACAGTAATACTACCACATCAGCCTCTAGGTGGTCTTATGGAACACCTAATTTCTACAGAGCCTTTTGCAACCTAGATAAAGTATACTAAATTAGTGGTTGCCAATGAGGAATTAGTTTGATAAAAGCACACCAGGATGGGCAACACTCACCACAGAATGAGATCCTGTGAAAACAAGATAAGGGACCCTGAAAAGTAGCAATGAAAATACTCACCCCTCTACATAATTTAGAGGAAATGATTAAGATAAAAGTATAGGGGGAGATCCACATACCAGTTCACACAATGTCCTCCAGTGGGCAATTCAACCGAGCTAAGGACATAGAAATATGACAAATCTGATACGACATAACTTGCAGAAGATTCCTCGCTTTCAAAGAGACCCCAGAATAACAAGTTGTTGTCTAGCATCTCTAAAAGCATTAGTGCAGGCAAGAAAACCTTCAAGACCCTCATTGAACATGACAATGGTCAAAATCTGATCAGACGTAGATGCGAGAAATGGTGATCAGATGAATCAGTGAAAAGGATTTATCGTCTTCCCTGTTGGACGGTGTCTTGGGTAAGAAGAATCGATCTGAGAACATATATAGAATGAGAAAGCAGTCTGTGGGCAAACAGCAAAAACCACTCCAACCAACGATGTTTGTAGGTCAGCAGCAACAAAAAATAAACCTTCAGGTAAAGGGTATACATGGCATATGAAAATCAGGTCACAAACAGCTGTTGAGAAAGGGCATGTAATGTAACCTTAATATACCTGTTAGGTAACAGGAAAGGTCATGTGGGACCAAGGATCTAAAGTGACCAGAGGAATCTGGAGAATACTGGTAACTCAAAGAATACTTAGTTGCAAGAATCGAATGGTAGTCACTAAGTCTGCCTTAAACAGGGCAGTTGTGGAAGATACAAAACTCCTTGACAAAGACCTAGGTCAAAAAACTAGTTATGGATGGCACTTCTGATTGAAGTGGATTCAACCTTCTCTCAATACACCATTACCAATATGCGTGTCATTTCTGTTGATAAGTGTTCATCTTGGGACTAAACAAAGACTGAGACAGATATGTGGCAACCTTAAAATGAAACCCTGATGCTGTGCAAAAAACTGCATAACCTCTATGCCTGAAGCTTGAGCTTGTGGATAGCTGGGTGTACCATGTCATATCATGGCTGCCTCCACAGAGATGGAAGAGTTGGATACTCTGGAAAGTACTGCAGATGCAGAAAACTAGGGAGTAGTTGCCAATCTGGTGCTATCAACAGGACCCAACAATGGGTTAGAGTAAATCACATTTAGTACACTGGGTAACATGTGAATTGGAGGGAAAGCCTTGGTTGTAATCCCATCCCATTCTGATGGAATGCATTCATCGTCAAAGCCCGAAGGTGAGGTACTGGAGATCAAATTGCCAGTAGTTGGGTGTTCCAAGAGGCCAACCCACCAATCAAACTTGAAAAATGAGAGCCAATCCAACAGCAACTTGTGATGCAGCATATCTACTGTTGGAGAATCTGTTTGTGTTGAGACAACTGACCTGCTACTGCAGGCATCACCCATGGAACATGGCAAGCTAGTGGGGTGATATGATAGGAACAGTCCTGAGAAGGGAGGTTCAATATTCAAAAACAAGAAGCCCTGGACCAAGTGTCTTTTTGATGAGAAACACAAGGCACCACCACAGAATTGTTGGAGTGGAGCCTAACAATTTTCCCCTTAATAAGCCCAGACATTATGAAGAGCAAGAAGGACTAAAACATAGTGTAGGGAAGCCTCATCATCCATGCATAGACCCTGGAATTCCTGACTGTTGGTATATGCACCCCATCCCTGAAGCAAGGCATTCGTGAAGAGATGAAATTCTGGATGAGGCAGTAGAAGAACCCATATCTTAGTAGTGTCCCTACTTAATAGCCCCTTGAGATTGAGGAATGATCCTAACTAAGGAAACTGGGAATCTAAAGAATCATTGTTTATGATCCCTTGGTTGCATAAAGACCATTAAAAGGATCTCTTGTGCTCTCATCACAAAGGCATGGGGGAATCGAGTGATGCCCACATTCCCAGAAGAGAAAGAACCATCTGGGCAGTGGGAGAAGGAGAGGTGAGTAAGAGTTGGTCTTCCTATTCCATAGCATTGAGCCAAATGTGAGTCAGCTGAGCCCAAATGAGAGACAACATAAAAAATACGCAGACTGATGACATATTGAATTAAAGCAAGAATAGAGGTCTCATCCCTGAGAATGAAGCCTGCCTTGGTTGTTTCTGAAAGTAGAATCAGTACGTTATGTTTTGACAATTGGTGAGATGGTGTAAGCAGTAATCAGTTGTCTATGGAATGATGCATGTAATGGAATGGAGGTGATAAGAAAAAACTTGTCAGAAATGGCAGAACCTATGTGACACCGATGTAAGTCCAATGGTAAAAACTTGGAACTGCAGTACCTAACCCTTGTGCACGAAAAACACTGATAGTGATGAAACATCACCACTATGGCAATGTGCAGATAGGAGCTGACTATAACAAACTTAGATCCCAGTAAAAAATGTCAACTCAGATTGAGGAATGAGTAACTTGCATTTGTATAGATGATTTATATGTGGTTAAGGTTACCACACATCTTGAAATTCTTGGAGCCGAGCCCCCACAGACCCTGAAGGCATACAATAATCACTGATGTCACTGGCGGCAATCTGATCTAGTAGCGGAACTCTTGGATATATACAGAATCTACTCTGGGTACAATGTACTGAGGGGCTTATATACAGTAGCAGGATAGAGAGCACATTGACATAGGTGGAGAGTGTCACGCGATAAATATCACCAAGGGCAATTGAGTGGGGTATAAAAGACTGGAGCAAGTGATAAAAAATCTGACCAATGCTTAGCCTGGTAGTTGAGTAATAGGTATAGGTGTAAGAGGAGGTAAGTATGTTTTGGAATAAATATTCTAATCAAAACTGTGTATCCAGGTAACAACCACCACACTGTGGTAAAACTATCACTTGTCTAGGGCAATGTCTAAGTATGAACTCACACGCTGTGGTAAAATTTGTACTTGGCTCAGCCAGCTTGGTAAACGTAGGTTAGTCCTAAATCCATAAATTAAGCTAACAATGTGAGATAATTTTTATTATATTAGGAAATGATAATAATAATAATAAAAATAAAAATTAGTTGTAATAAATAAAATAACCAATACTGTTAACAAAAGTAACCTTAAAAGTAGGATAAAGTAAATAACATTCAAAAGTATTATAATTTTATCATAGCTCAAGTTATGAAAAACTCCATTAAATATATGACATATTATATTGTGGAACTTAAAATAACACTACAAAGTAAACGAGGAAAAAAATCTTGCACTAGGAGTTTTGACTGAATATTCATACCTTATAAAAGTAGGGAAGTCTTGGTAAGAGGAGTGTTGTAATATATTAACAACCCTTCAATTAATACTTACGTTTCTATTACAGGTCCTTTATCTTTGATCCAGAATCGGGATCCATCTTTGTGAGCTTCAAGAGAACCTGTTTTAAAGCTTTGTATGTAGTTATTCAACATCTGACGTTCATTTTCATTTGCTGCATGCTCCTGATAAAAACATATCAATCCATTATAGGTGGCCTGACTATAAGTGTACAGTGACAAAACATAATTAAAACTAGGAAAGAAGTAAAAGTAATTCTACCATTTTTAAAGAAAAAATCCTAGTTGAAAACATTACGGCAAATTACTTAATATCTAATAAAATAAATTTTTTAGATAGCTAACTATTACTACTCGCTTTTTTTAACTATTTTTAATTCTTTGTCATTAGTTTTGGGAACTTAGGACTTGATGTTTTCATCTAACTGAAAGCTTAAAATGAAATTGCATAAACTTAATCTTTAATATAGGTGAAATTCCATAATGGATAATTGAGAAAAAACAAGACAATTGTACATTTCATAAATACATCATTTATTCACAACCATGATTAATTTACTGGCGAAACCATGGTCATGAATAAATTATGTATTTGTGAAATGTACAATTGTCTTATTTTTCCTCAATTCTAAATCTTTAAAATAAATTGTCTGTTCGTCTTGAAGAATCATTCTGAAATAACATTTTTGGTGCTTTTCTTAAAAAACATTTATAAAGGCTATCTACAGAAACAATTGATATGTTCAATTCTGACTCACCATGTATATTTACAAAATACTGATTTTCATAAAAAAAAGAAAGTTTTAATCATTTTTTTATAAATTAATTAATACTAAGAAATTTCAAACTTTTAGCTTCTGCTCCATTCTGATATATCCACCAGAACTAGCTAATCATTACAAACCACTTAATACTTCTAATTTATGAAATAACATACCTTTGCTTTTTGGAGGTGAGTAATTACGAGGGCTAAAAGTCTTGAGTAGTCACCTCTCGTAACAATAAATTTCATTCCATCAACCTGATGAGTACCAACCAAAGATTTGTTTTCTACATCTTCTGCAAATTTCAATTAAAAAAGAAAAGCTATAAATATTTCATAAAGTAAGTGCTTGGCCTCAAAAGAGAAAATTTGCAACATTTTGTTGATAATGTTCTACAGATAAAAGAAGAAACTAATTATAAACATCCTACTTATACATAAGAACTAGTTAATTTTAATACTTTCTGTCCATAAACCACCAAACGAACATTTAAAAGAATCAAATCTCTTTAGGTAATACTTTCCACAAATCAATCACAATAAAGAAATTCAATTATGACTAACAACAAGTCTATATTCTAGTATTCTAAGACTTTAAGCATGACTATAATGTTCAAGTAGCATGGTACCAGATGTTACATGGTGAACAAATGCAAAATATTACAATTATATATATAACAAATTCAGCTTTTAGTTTTCTATGCATTTTTAAACTCTAATTCCTAAGCTATTCTCTCCAAAAACAAAAGACCGATTGTGAGATATTTTACAATCTTGAACTTCAGAATCCCAGCATTCAAGTTAAACAATAGAGCTTATGTCTTTAAATCTACAAAACATCCCAATGTTTTGATTCTATTAACTTATTGTTCTCTCTCTGTGGTAAGCAGACCAAAGTTCAATACAACATATTTTGAAAGATAGCTGTCAAGAATTATTATAAAACCAATATTTTCATTTAACATATCTTAGTGTTTTTATTTTTATTGCTGCACAAACACAACAAATGTCCACGCTCAAAACCTTCCATGCGTAATCCCTAAAACCTCCTAAATGCATATCAAACTTTTTTTTCCACTAAATCCTTATAGTTTATATGTTATTTTCTCTACCCTAAACTCAAAACGGGATTGGTCAATTCGACCGACCTCGTAACCACCAAAAAAATCTAAATAAACCTAAACTACCTTTCTTTTCTTTCTAGTATGATTTCAAATTGTAACATGAAACTACATTCATTTATCCTAAGTAGGTCTAAGTTTGTAACATTATACATCTATTCATAATTAAATGTTATTGTTTTACTGCCCTATGAACCATGTCTAACTGCTATCTGCGCCATAAGTTGTAAATCACTTGGGGAACATGCAGCTCACGTTACACTATCGAATTACATTACCCACGAGCTGCTAGCGTGCGTGCTTTGTGACCAATTTTAATTACATTATTATTACTTATTTTACCTATTCTAGTCTTAAATAACTTAAAAAGATCCGTACTTTTAATTTTAGTTACTTTTATAATAATAAATAATAAATAAATATGAAAACAAGAAATAAAAAACTTACCTTCTTTTTTCTTGCCCTAGATTGTCGATGAGAGTTAAGCCTGATTTTTTTAGTGATTACAGTAAAGCACTTAACAATTTTTATTTAATTAAATAATACACCAAAAAATATAGA